CTTCAGAGACTAGGAATTACTAGCTGGGAATAGCAGCCGCCGGCGTCTGCCTCCTGCAGGGAGGGGAAACGGCTTCCTTCCGAGCCTCTCGGAGAGGCAGCTGCCACCGGGGAAGTCGCTTTCAGCACGCCGAGGTTATTTTCAGAGGTTTGGAAGGCCTCTGTGTGAATCTCTCTGGAATCTAGTAGGGGTGTGGGGACCTTATGGTGTTTCACAGCCAGTGGAAGGTGCCTCGGATGTGTCTCGGGAGCCTCCTGCCTGGAACGAGTGCACAGGAGTAGGTGGGGAGGCGGAGGGGGTTGGACTGTTTTTCTCTCCTCCTGTTCGGAGGCTGAGGCAGCTGCAGCTAGACCTGGGATGTGTAAACCTGCGGACAGGGGCAGTGTTGGGACCGAAATAGCTTCTGCCTGTGCAGGGAACGGGGCGCCTTCAAGTGCTGCTTGGGGAACGTTTCTGCTTGAATGGGCCAGCTGAGGTAAAGCCAAGATAATGCTTTACTTACCCAGAATCATTTCAGTTCCGTCCAGTGGGACTTGAAACAGATGCAGTTTTCCTTTTAGATGTTTAAAAAGTAATAATTAAAAAGCCACTGCCTCCCTGACTGTGCAATATTTGTCTCTTCATTGAGTTGCTTTTCAGAGGAGGCCCAGATTGTGGGTGCTGGAGGTGCTGATCAGGGCCGTTGGCTCCGGGCACCCACCTGCCTCTGTGTTCAGGATATTCACGGTGCCATTTTTTCCCTGTGCCAGACTCTCACAGCCTGGCGTTCCAATCCTTGGGTTGCTTGGAGAAATTAACAGCTTCTGTTGCTGGGCTGTCTTGCTCTCTTGTAACCACGCTGTTTTTGCAGAGAGCGTGTTTTTTTGTTGTTCTTGCAGAGTGCTGGGAATAAATTGCTGGCTCTGTGCTCAGAAAAGACATGAGCTATGACCAGCTACAAGGCAGCCTGTATTCTCAGAAAATGTATTCAGCAGGGATGATGTCAGCTGCTTTACCACTGGCCATCTCTGGCTAGCCTCTTTCTTTGGCCCTCAGCTTACATCACAGAGAGATTTGTGGCTCTCCCAGCCCCATTCTTTGTGGGAAGATGGGAATTTTGCTACTGTGGGGATTTTTAGAACTCAACTCTGCTCACCCTGCCATGGGGCATTCTAACTTAGCCAAGTACTTTCAAGTAGAGCTGTCCAGCAGATACAGCAGGAGGGCTTTGCTTAAAAGTCAGAGTTTTGGTGTCAGACCTAGGTTCAGATCTCAGATCCACCTCTTTCTAGCCCTAGAGCAAGTGAGTTGGCCTCTCTGACCTTCGGTTTGCTCTTTAACCTTGGAATCGTCATGTGGATTTAATTGATTTTCATAGAGCAGTTAGCAGGGGGCTCCCACATACTAATCCTTGGTAAACGGTACTAATTGTGACAATAAATGAGTGACACAGATTGGAGAAAGCCCAGGCCTCAGGTCCCGCCAACCAGAGTTCAGATTCCAGCTCTGACCCTTTCAAGCTCTGTTGGGCAGGTTGCTTAACGTCCGAGCATCGGTTTCCTCATAGAGTTGTCGTGAGGATTAAATGGAATGGTGCGGTTAAAGCAGAAAGCCTAATGCTTAGCACATAGTAGGAAGGACCTCAGTAACCGTTAGTTTCTTTCTCTCTTTCCTTTCCTTAGTTATCTTTTAGCGTATACTTTCTTTCTCCTTTTCCTTCACCTACTCAGGTTGGTTCAAGATTCTTCTTACATGAGCTTCCCATCCTTGTTTTGGGATTTTGAACACCAACTGGGCCCTGTGGATCCCCTTTCTTGTTTGTTGTTAGCCAGCAACAAACAAGGGTGTGGACCACGGTGTGATTACAAAGCAGCAGACACAGAGCTGAGGGGCTGAGCTTGAGGATGGCTGACTTTGTAAAAAATCAGCCTCTTTGAGCTCAAGGCTGACTTTCTTAGAGAAAAGTCACAGTAGTGTTTAGGAGGTTTGATGGTCCTCTGTTTGAATAGTTCTCAAATGGACCAAAAAACAGTCCCTTGGGCCAGAGACAAGATGGAGGCTTCTCTTAGATAAATAAAGAATGGCATATAGGCCGATGTGGTCACTCACACCTGTAATCCCAGCACTTTGGGAGACTGAAGCAAGAGGATTGCTTGAGGCCAGGAGTTGAAGAGCAGCCTGAACAACATAGTGAGACCCTGTCTCTACAAAAAATGGAAAGATTAGCTGGGTGTGGTGGTGCACACCTGTAGTCCCTGCTACTTGGGAGGCTGAGGCAAGAAGATTGCTTTAGCGAACCTAGGAGTTTGAGGTTGCAGTGAGCTATGATGACGCCATTGCACTCTAGCCCGGGTACCAGAGTGAGACTCTGTCTCCAATGTAATATAAAATAAAGAAGACAATGGCAAATGCATGTGGTATTTATTAGCAAGAACAGCAATGAGTGTCTTCTCTTGGGTTGCAATACATTTTTAATTTTAAGAGAACATGCGTACTATGATACTAGGTAATGAGCTCTTCCAACTGGAGTTGAGGGCAGGATATGTCTTCTTCACTGCTGTCTTCTACCTCACCTACACGCTGTCCCGTGCCTGGGACCCGGCAGAAGCTGGGTCCTGCATAAATACTTGTTGGACATGGGAATCATGGAGTGCAAAAGGGACGCAGGTTTCACGTCAGAGGCCAGACTTGGGATTTTGGGCCCACCTTCTAACCTTGAGCTACTTGCTGTGTATCATGCCATCTTTTGGAGTCTGTTTCTTCTCTCCGGCTGATCTCCCAGGAGTCTTGGGAGGTACCAATGAGAAACCAAAGGAGCGGCATCGTCAGCACTCACATCCTTCGCATCATTCATCTCACCTACTTTATCAAACATCTCCTATGTGGCAGACTCTGTGTTAGCCATCATAGTAACAAAGCAGACTTGGTCCTTGCCTTTGTGGGGCTTACTAGGTAATGGGGGAAGCTGGTGAATGAATAAAGTTGGTAATTTCAGATTGTGGATAATGTGACAATGAGGGACTGGGAAGGTGGAAGTTGCCTGAGATGGGGTTGTCAGCAAGAGCCTCTGAAGGGCGACATTTGAGCTGAGGCCTGAACCATGAGAGTGAGCCCGCTATGGGAAGAATCAGAGAAAGAACATGCAAAAGGAGGCCGGGCGCGGTGGCTCACGCCTATAATCCTAGCACTCTGGGAGGCCGAGGCGGGTGGATTGTTTGAGCTCAGGAGTTCAAGACCAGCCTGAGCAAGAGCGAGACCCCCGTCTCTACTAAAAATAGAAAGAAATTGGCCAAACAACTAAAAATAGAAGAAATTAGCCAGGCATGGTGGTGCGTGCCTATAGTCCCAGCTACCCGGGAGGCTGAGGCAGGAGGATCACTTGAGCTCAGGAGTTTGAGGTTGCTGTGAGCTAGGCTGATGCCACGGCACTCTAGCCCGGGCAACACAGTGAGAATCTGTCTCAAAAAAAAAAAAAAAGAACATGCAAAAGGAACAGCACGTGCAAACGTCCTGAGATGAGCTTGACACGTCTGAGGAACACACAGAAAGGTCCATGTGGGTGGAGCTTAGAGGGAAGACTGCTGTGAGGTGAGCAGGGGTGTGACCACGTTGGCCTTGGACAGAAGGTAGAATTTTCTCCTAAGTGGATTTATGTTTGCCTCCTGTGCTCCTCTGGCTTATTTGTCCCTGCAGGACTGGGCTCCCTCAGCAGGGCCGTGGGTAGGAGAATGTGGCCTCTCTGTGTCCCTAGTTCTGCTGCACACCCCGTCCCTCACCCCACTGTTAATACCCCCAGGGGTCTCCCCCAAACCGTGGAGAAGCCAGTGGCTCCTTGAGACAAGGATGATTTTATTGACCTTGTGACAGGTGCCTGGTTAATAGGCCTTTAGACCCTCCTCACCTGAGCACAGATCTGCAGAGGCCTCTATAGGTCAGTCCCAGTCCCAGTCCTACTGCAGTGTCTTTCTCTGCCCCTCGTCATCTCCCACAGTCGGCAGACATTTGAGAAGCACATACTCTGCCCCAGGCACCACTGAGGTCACCTTACTGAGATGATCACGATCACGATCCCTCACCCAGGGAGCTTCTGGGCAAGAGCAACTGGATGGAGAGTGTGCAGATGCACATCCACCACCCAGTCGGAGATATTTGCCCCACTGTGCTCTTCCCTTCTTAAGAAGGCGTGGCATCTTGGGGGTACAGTACCTTCAGACAACAGGAATGGCTGTCAAGGGCTTACTTGGAGCCGGCACTCTGTGACCAGCTTTATATCCTGGCTGTGTATAATCCCCACGCCAACCCTGGGCTGGAGGCACTATTATTAACCCCCTTTTTCAGATGAGAAAACTGACACCTAGAGAGCTTGAGTGATTTGCCCAAGTAACCTGGAGAAGTGGACCTGGATTTCACACCCAGGCAGCCTGGCTTTGGACCCTGTGTTCATGACCCTATGCTCATGGCCTGCCCTGGCAATGTCCCTTGATAAACTCAGATTTGCTCCCAGCATTGTGGCAGCAAGAATAGTGCTGGATCTGGGCCAGGCATGGTGGCTCACGCCTGTAATCCTAGCACTCTGGGAAGCCGAGGCAGGATGATCGCTTGAGCTCAGGAGTTCGAGACCAGCCTGAGCAAGAACAAGACCCCGTCTCTACTAAAAGAATAGAAAAATTAGCCAGCTGTCATGGCACACACCTGTAATCCCAGCTACTTGGGAGGCTGAGGCAGGAGGATCACTTGAGCCCAGAAATTCAGGTTGCAGCGAGTTATGATGATGCCACTGCACTCTACCTAGGGCGACAGAATAAATCTGTCTCAAAAAAAAAAATATATATATATATATCTTGCTGGATCTGTACATGTTCTGCTAACAAGTTGCTAAACAGATGACAAGATTGTATAAATCCTGCATGTCCCGGCTCAGAACATTCTGTCCTCTCCCAACAGGGAACTGTAAGACGCTCTTGTGGTAAAGGGGAGTGCAGGCTATCAAAGGCAGACAGAAGCACTCCCAGGGGACAGCAGCCAGAGTGATCTCTTTTTTACATTGTAAGTATGATTGTGTCGCTCTTCCCTTGTTTTAAACTCTCCAGTGGCTTCACATGGCTCTTTGAATAAAATATAAAATTCTGAATATGCTCTCAAGGCCTTAGGGAGGAGGAGCCTGCCCCTGCCCTCACTGACTCAGCCTCGCTGCCAAGCGTCCTGCCTTAGACAAGCAGGGTGTGGTGGCCAAGAGCACGGACTTTGGAGCCAGACTGCCTGGGTTCGGATCTCAGCTCTGCCTGTTCAGAGTTCTGTAACCTTGGGCGTTTTCTACTGTCTCTGTGTCTCAGTTTTCACGTGGGTACATTGGGAATAACAGTAGTACCTCTCTCCCAGCGTCGTTTAAGAAGATTAAGTGAGGTAGTGCGGTGAAGGATTGAAGCACTCGGCACGTCTGAGGTTAGTTCAGGGCCTTCCTCTACTGTTACCCTTCCCCCGCCTTGTGGCCTGACCAACCCCTCATCCTTCAGGTCTAACTGTTACTGTCTCAGGGCTTTCCTAAACTCCCCCTTCTCCCCACAAAACCAGGATAGGTGTTCCTATCATACTAACGGTGAACTTTGTCTTCAGAAGTATTAATCACGTTTTTCATTTGTGAGCTCAGAAAAGTCAAGGACCATATCTGTCTGGTTTCCACCATAACCTGGAACGTAGAACATGTTCCATAAACATGTTAACGAGTGAACAGAAAGGGGCCCAGTGGTGCCCAGTGTAGCTAAGGACAGTTCTGCTTTTTGTTTTGCCTCAGCGGTCAGAAGCTGGTGTGTGGACCATTTGGAGGAATGACGTGCTTCTTCTTCTCCTTCTAGAGCACTCCGCTGGTCCAGGTGGCAGCATGTTAGTACTTTTAGCGATGTCCCCATCTTTAAACCAGAAGCCATGGAGGAGATAAGGTAGCCCCCCCTTGATCGGATGGGGAAGCCCAGTTCAATGGATGCAAAATACAAGGATGACTTATTTCGAAAGTACGTGCAGTTCCATGAGGGCAAAGTGGACACCACCCCCAGCAAGCAGCGGCCTGGCAGCGATGAATACCTGCGGGTGGCAGCCTCGACCCTGCTCAGCCTGCACAAGGTGGATCCCTTTTATCGATTCCGGCTGATCCAGTTCTATGAGGTGGTGGAGAGCTCTCTGCGCTCGCTGAGCTCCTCCAGCCTGCGGGCTCTGCACTGCGCCTTCAGCACGCTGGAAACCGTGGGCATCAACCTCTTCCTCTACCCGTGGAAGAAGGAATTCCGAAGCATCAAGGTGAGGTCCAGGGAGTAACCTCCATGCTGCTCTTCCTTCTCCCTTCTTGCTGCTTCCAGATGATTCTGAGAGGGGTTGTACCAGTCCGATCGCATCCCTCCTCTGCTCTCAGACCCTCCCAGGTTCCCCACTGCCTTTGGGACAAGAAGCAGAATGACCGCCACGGCTCCCCACCTTGCCTTCCTCTCAGTGTCATCCCTGAACTGGTTTTCTGCCCCTGGCTCCCACATCTTGAGCCAAAGGGTTGGGAAGGCAGGGGCCACGTCATGCAGGGCCCGGTAGCCAAGGGCAAAGGGAGTGGATTTGTTCTGAGTGGGCTGGGCTGCAGGCAGTGCTGGGGTTTACATTTGGAAAGGATCTTTCTGGCTGTTGTATGGCAAATAGACTGTAGAAAAGCTTGGGCGGGGTGGGGAGACCAGTCAGGAAGCTTCTCAGATGTCCAAGCCAGCGGAGAGGTGGTGTGGACTAAGTGGTAACGCAGTGTGGGAGGAGCAGAGTGGATTCGGAGTCATTCCTTGGCGGGGACGGCACAGGAGAGTGTCCGCCAAGTCAGGCTCTCAAGTTGGACATATTATTCAGCCCTTCATCGAGGTGCCAGAAGGGAATGTTCTCATTGCTCATTGGGCATTCTGCCTATCATCTGATCCCCTTTAGGCACCTGCCTTTGCCCTGGCTGCCTCTTCATACGGAGCCGGGCCTTTGTGCCCCACACAGACGTGTTTTTGTTCCCTGCGTTTAAGAAAGGAGCTGATGGGTAATTCTCCCGCACCTTACTCTGAGCTCGTAGTGAGCGTGAGCTTCCGCCTTCTACAGTGAGAAGCTCCTGAGATCCTTGCCTTCCCTTTCCTCTCCCTACACGCTCCATGTTAGACTCGGATGTCCCTTGCTTTGACAGTCTCTGGTGTGGGTCTCCAAGAGAAAATCCCACCTTTTTTCTACTCCTTTCCTTCTAGACCTACACTGGCCCTTTCGTTTATTACGTCAAGTCTACGTTACTGGAAGAGGACATCCGAGCCATCCTGAATTACATGGGCTACGTGCCTGAGTTGGGAACTGCGTACAAGCTCAAAGAGCTCGTGGAGACTGTCCAGGTGAAGATGGTCTCCTTTGAGCTGTTTCTGGCCAAAGTCGAGTGTGAGCAGATGCTAGAAATCCACTCACAAGTGAAGGACAAGGGGTACTCTGAGCTGGACGTCGTGAGCGAGCGCAGGAGCAGCACAGAGGACGTTCGCGGCTGCTCAGATGCACTGCGACGGCGGGCCGAGGGCAGGGAGCACCTGGCGACTTCAATGGCCCGTGTCGCACTCCAAAAGTCGGCCAGCGAGCGGGCGGCAAAGGACTACTACAAGCCCCGTGTGACCAAGCCCTCAAGGTCGGTGGATGCCTACGACAGCTACTGGGAGAGCAGGAAGCCTCCCCTGAAGGCCTCACTAAGCCTTCGGAAGGAGCCCATGGCAGCAGACTTGGGGGACGACCTCAAGGACGAGATCATCCGCCCGTCCCCCTCACTCCTGACCATGTCCAGCTCCCCCCATGGCACCTCGGATGACCTTCCACCTGCCTCCCCCAACAACGGCCTCGGCCTGCTGCGCAGCACGTACTTCTCCACTCAGGATGACGTGGATCTGTACACAGACTCGGAACCCAGGGCTGCCTACCGTAGGCAGGATGCTCCGCGGCCAGATGTGTGGCTGCTCAGAAACGATGCCCACTCCCTCTACCACAAGCGCTCGCCCCCTGCCAAAGAGTCCGCCCTATCCAAGTGCCAAAACTGCGGCCTGTCCTGCAGCTCCTCCCTCTGCCAGCGCTGTGACAGCTTGCTCACGTGTCCTCCGGCCTCCAAGCCCAGCGTCTTCCCCAGCAAGGCCTCTGCCCATGACAGCCTGGCCCACGGGGTGTCTCTGCGAGAGAAGTACTCAGGCCAGAGTCAGGGCCTCGACCGGCTGCCACACCTCCACCCAAAACCCAAGCCCTCCGCCACAGCCACCTCCCGCTGTGGCTTCTGCAACCGCCCAGGCGCCACCAACACCTGCACCCAGTGTTCAAAAATTTCCTGCGACACCTGCCTCAGCGCCTACCACTACGACCCCTGCTGCAAAAAGAGTGAGCTACACAAGTTCATGCCAAACAACCAGCTGAACTACAAGTCCACCCAGTTCTCCCATTTCGTGTACAGATAGACTTGACCTTGCGCCTCCCTGCTACAAGGGCTACACCACTGACCTGGTTTCATGGTGAAGCAGTATTAACGTGTTGATCTCAGAAGCGGAGGCCTGCTCTTGACCATGCAGGTGGTGGGGATCGTGGGCTAGCTGCATCCACGTGGGAGTTCACTTAGCGACTCAGATATTTCAACTGATGGCTGCTTTGTCGTCTGACAAGGGAGAGGGTAGCACTTCCGTTCAGGTTCGTTTTTGCTGATCACTCCCCGTTCGGTTGGGTTTTCTCTCCTTTAAAGAGGATTGTTATCTCTGGGACTCTCGCTGCGCCTGCTCCTCCCACCGCGAGGCCAGCTTGGACTGGGAAGGGCCCTTCAGGTGGAACGCCTGTCTGGAGTGGCGAGCTGGAGGCCTGTTGGCTTGTGAAATGAGCCCTCCTGCCACACTGGGCCTCTCCCAATGGTTTATCCTTTGGTCGCCCCCTTCCCAGCTGGACTCCCCGCACCCTGACTTTCCTGCCTCTCCAGGTGTCAAAGGTGAACCGAGTCCAGTGTTAGCTGACTGTCATCTTGTTACCACCACAGCACAGTCGGCCAGTGGTGTTTGTGAACGTGGCTCCAACACATTGCAGTGTGGACTTCCCACAGCGGGACTGACTTTCCCTTTCTGTTGTTTGCACATGCCCCTCTTACTGTACTGTAAATAGATATTTTTAAGATTTATTTTTAAATAAATATTCAACTTGCCATGTGTTTCAAAGTGGTTAAAAAATTAATTATGTAGCTATTTATGAAAATGTCCTGGGTTCTTTAGTCTTCCAAGGGAGGGCCTTATGGCCTTTCATTTTGTGTTCCTCCACTCACTACAGCCCGAGCGAGGGTAGAGTGGAGAGTTTGGGGCGGGGGAGGAATAGAGACGAAGTCCCTTTTTCTTGAGTTGGTGGAAAGCCACTGTCTTCCCTACAATAAATATCTAGACACCTACCTCCAATGTGCACTTAGGGGGTCAGAGCAGGCGTCGAGGTCTGTGTGCCTGCAGACTGTGATACCTGGTGGCGATTCAGGGACCCTTCGGATCTGTTGCCCTGGTCTTTGGCACTTGTTGAGCTTGAACCTTGTACTCCAAACTTCTTGAGTCTCATTTCGGAAGGAAAATAATTTGGGATTCCCGCCACCCCTCCATCTCAGTCCTCTTTTCTTCACCAGTTTCCAGGACTTGTCTGCAGCGACATTTGCGATCTTTTTGCACTAAAATTGGGCAGGAGCCGGCACGTGCCTGTCAGGCAGACAGCTCCTCAGATACTCAGCTGAGCCTAGGCACTTCCAAACTGAAGGGCCCTCCAACTCCTCTTGTGAATTACCAACCCCTGGATTTTTCTTTTGGGGTACAGAACAGGAGTGGGGCAAGAGTTTAAAGCCGCTTCCTTGTGAACTAATAATATATTTAGCCATAAGTGTTTGTGACGTACACTATGTTAAGAGATTTACATGCAGTGGGTTTTTCTGGGAGAAGGAGGTATTCAGCTCTTGAGTGAGTTTAAATCTGGCTGAATCCTGAGGCCACTGTGAATTTGCTGATGTTCTTCCAACTCAGTTGAGTGATTTTAAGGTTTTCCAAATCTTATATGGCTCTTTTTTTACATATATCTGGTAGATCACATGTAGATATACAATGTGTATATTAAGCTGAATTTCAACCGACTTTATTACTAAGACCAGCCTATCTGGGGCATTCATCTTTGATGTTCTTCCTCTTCACATTTCAGAACCGCAATGCCTGGCCCACTCCTGAGAGCTCTAGTTTTCTAGTTTTCCATTTCCAGATTGCTCCAGCATTATAGTAACTAACTCTTTTAACCAACCGTGATGCCACGTAACTTACACAGTGGATGAAAGCAGGAATGACAACTCATCCTAGGAGGACACAGTCCAGTGTACCTATCATCACGGAAATACTGTGTTCATAGGCTGGAATAGGAAATACTACAACCATGCTCCTTGGTGTGTATCTTACTGTATGAGGTTGCTGTGATTGAGATAGTTAAATATATGCTAATTTAAAAATGCAGATGTTTTGCATTTGATTTCTACCAAGAGTTGAAATGTTGAGAGATGATTAAAAAATATTAATAATAAAGTGTCTTCCATTGTTAAATGAAGTGTTTGGGGTTTTATGTCCCCCATCCCCACATCTTTGAAGTTTGGTTCCTTGGTTTTTGTTTTTTTTTGCTCAAGCCATATTTAGTTCCTTAATGACAGGGTTCAAATTTTCGCCTCCGTGAAACTAACACATAGCAGCCAGCATTTGAGTGCTGTACGGTAAGCCAGGCGCTTTGTACGCTGAGACTTCGCATGCATGACCTCATAGAATAGTCTCAGTCATCCTAGAAGACAGGTTACAGATGGGGACCCAGAGGTGCAGAATTCAGACGTTTCCCTAGGGTGGGGCTGTATACTCCAGGAGAAATGACTGTTGGTGGTGACTGAGAGGTGTTAAATGACACTGAAAGACACTATAAAAAATTAATTCCGTTTTTTATTCTTTCCATCCATTTAACTGTCTCGAGGAGGAAGTGGGTCTAATGCTACCTTGTCTTTAACAAAGAGAAAACAGGCATCGGGCTCAGAGCCTTTGGCAGGATCTTAGCCAGGTTTTCAGTTACTTTTATCTAGGGCAGGCATAGTACTTTTCCATTTATGGTAGTGATAGATTTTTTTAAAAAAATCAATCTAAGGTATTTTTTAAAATGAGGATTGACTTAAAAGCAAAACACATGGCAGAAGTCTTACGGAAGGGAGAAGAGCAGCTGCGGCTTGTGCAGCCCGGGTTTCAGCACCAGCAGGGCCTGGGCCCAACCTGCTCACCACTGTGCTGCGCGGACCCCGGGAGGCAGCTCGGCTGTCGGGGCAGAGCCTGGGTAGGTTTCTCCGTTTCGTGCACTGGCCGAACAAACATCCAGGCCTCGGCCAGACCCGAGTCCAGGTGCTGAGACTGCATTTAGCTACGTCTTAGAAAATGGCGTTGCCACCTGGGCTATCAGGAGCAGTGGCTTCCGGGAGATGCACACCTAGCCCAGGAGGGAGAGGAAGCCAGATGCTCGCTCCCACGTCCAAAGGGGAGCAGCAGCTTCAGAGCAGATTGCTTAATTTGTAAATGTAAATGACAAGCATATTTAAACTTCATCAGGTCCACCAGCTGTACAGCCTTAGCTCTGATGCCGAGCACCGATCTGGCACGCAGCACAGCCCAATTACCAAGCTCAGAGGGCTGAGAACTCGGGCAGACACGGAATCTTACCCAGTCTCCATTCACCCTTTCTCCCTTGGTATTAAAAGCCCTAGTTTTTAGATCTGCGGCCATCCAGGATGAAGACTGCATTTCACAGCCAGGTATGGTCGTGTAACTATGGTCCCTGGGTGGAAACGTGCGTTTGGCTTCTAGGCCACGTCCTTCAAAGAAGGGAGGTTGCCCTTCCCAGCCTGCCCCTTCCTCCTGGCTGGAACGCTGTGACGCCGGGGGTGGAGAGGCTGTCTGAGACCGAGGGGAGCCAAGTGAAGAAGGGGGTGAGCAGTGGCTGGACAGGGCCGGCCTGATGCCGGGAGAGCTGCTGCGATGGCCTGCTTACTCTGCCTGCCTCCAGGTCTGTTTTCGTTAAACCTTGTTTAAGCCACACCTTTTCCCCATTTGCCCATTTTAAGAAGCTTTTTTGCTGGGTGAGGTGGCTGGGTGACCTGTAGTCCCAACTACTCTGGATGCTGAGGCAGGAGGATCGCTTGAGCCCAGGAGTTGGAGGTTGCTGTGAGCTAGGCTGACGCCACGGCACTCGAGCTGGGACGGCAGAGGGAGACTCTGTCTCAAAAATAAATAAATAAATAACAAATCAGGCCCTCAGCCAACCCAGTCTATGGTGTTTTGCAGCCTGAACAGACTAAGGCAACGTTACCATCACATCTTACTTTTTAAAATAATTCCTTAACATTGACAAATATCCAGTCAATGTCCAGATGTCCAGTCGTCTTATAAATTCATATTTTTAAGATATGGATTTCCCTGTTTGTTTGCGTCAGGGCCAAATAAGTTCCCCACGTTGCAATTGGTTGATAGGTCTTTAAATCACCTGTTCTCTATAGGCTGCCCCTTTTGAGTATAGGTGCCCCGTCTTTCTTTTTTTCCTTGAGATGTGTGTATTTGTCAAAGAAACTGTCCTTTAGAGCAATTTCTTTGTGTAGAGCAGGGTCTACATTTTCCTTATTTCAGTCTGTCATTGAGCATGTTCCTTTGTTCTCTCAATTTCCAAGAAATTGGTAGTTGCTGTCCCTCCCTCCAGTTTCTTACTGTTTATTTGCATACATTGTACAAAAGTAGAGAAACAAACATTTCTTAAGGGTGTGATTCAAGAATGCAGCTCGGTGACTAAGGAGTGTGAGGGAGTAACAACTTGGGGAGGAGCTCGGTGCATAAATAAGGCCCGGGGTCTCAGACGTGCTGGCAACACATCGCAGGGCCCTGTGAGGAGGCAGAGGAGGCTGCGGTGGGATCGCCGGGCGCAGAGTGGTTCTATTTTTACTATTTGAGGAGCCTCCATGCTGTTTTCCGTAGCAGCTGCGCCACCTCACGTTCCCACCGACGGTGCACAAGGCTTCCAATTGCTCCACATCTTTGCCAACACTTGTTATTTTCTGGGTTTTGTTCGTTTTTACACTGGCCCTCCTAATGGGGGTGAGGTGACACCCTGTGGTTTTGATTTTCATTTCTCTAATGGTTAGTGACGATGAGCATCTTTTCATGTGCTCGTTGGCCATTTGTCTGTCTTCTTTGGGGAAATGATATTCAAGTCCTTTGCCCATTTTTTTTTTTTTTTTTTTTTAGACAGTCTCACTGTGTTGCCCAGGCTAGAGTGCCAAGGATAACAATCCTGGCTCACAGCAACCTCAAACTCCTGGGCTCAAGCAATCCTTCTGCCTCAGCCTCCCAAGTAGCTGGGACTACAGGCATGTGCCACCATGCCCGGCTAATTTTTTTCTATGTATTTTTAGTTGTCCGATCAATTTCTTTCTATTTTTAGTAGAGACGGGGTCTCGCTCTTGCTCAGGCTGGTCTTGAACTCCTGAGCTCAAACAATCCGCCTGCCTTGGCCTCCCGGAGTACTAGGATTACAGGCGTGAGCCACCGCACCTGGCCCTTTGCCCATTTTTTAATTGGGTTATTTGTGGGTTTTTTTTGTTTTGTTTTTGAGTTGTAGGAGTTCTATGTATATTCTTTATATTAATCCTTTACCAGATACATGATTTGCAAATCTTTTCTTTCATTCTGTAGGTTATCTTTTCACTCATTTCTTCTGATGTACAGAAGTTTTAAAGTTTGATGTAGTCCCATTCGTCTACTTTTGCTTCTATTGCCTGTGCTTTTGGTATTTTATCTAAGAGATCAATGCCAAATCCAAGGTCATGAAGCTTTTCCTCTATTTTTTTTTTTTCTAGGAGTTTTATTTTATTTTATTTTTTTGAGACAGAGTCTTGCTCTGTCGCCCAGGCTGAAGTGCAGTGGCATGATCATAGCTCACGGCAGCCTCGAACTCCTAAGCTCAAGCCATCCTCCTGCCTCAGCGTCCTAAGTAGCTGGGACTACAGGTGCATTTTGTAGTTTTTAGTGTACAAGTGTTTCTTGGTGCTTAAATTTATTCCTAAGTATTTTATTCTTTGTGATGCTATTGTAAATGCAATTATTTTCTTAATTTTTCAGTTTG